CCTCTTCCATCCTTCCTTCTTTCCCTCCATCCCTCCTTTCCTTCTTTCCTTCTGTGCTAGTAATGGGGCTTGAACTTAGGATCTGGGAGCTGTCCCTTAGCTTTTTCATTCAAGGCTAGCATTACCACTTGAGCCACAGTTCCACTTCTGGTTAATTAGAAGAGTCTCTCAAGCTTTTCTGCTCAGACTGGCCTCAAACTACAATGTTCATCCCAGCCTTCTGAATAGCTAGAATGACAGGCATGAGCCACCAGCACCAGCTCAACTTAGCAGTTTTCAGTGACTTCCCTATTGACTTTTGCCAATATAGCCTTTACCTGTTGCTGCTCAGGTGCCTGCTCCTGCTAGATTTCTTCTATTTTCAAGACTTCCAGACTCTTCTCACATTGCTCACCTCCGGGCAGAGACCACAGATGACCACCAGATGACAGGAGGAACCAAAGTCCCCCACAGAGCCCAGTAGGTCCAGTCAAAGAGACCTGGAAGAAGATGGCCAGGTACTGCTGGCTGGCCCCTCTCCAGTGTGTTTTGGTAAGTCATCTGCCTCCAGAGGAGGGAACTTAGGGGCAGTGACAGCCGTGGCCCTGGATGATGCACTGGCTGTGCATCAGCCCACTGATTTCTCTGGCAAATCACTGCATGGAAATCAGTGTCTACATCATACAAGTGAGCAAACTGAGGTGTAAAAGAAGTGTGATGACTTGGCTCAGGTCACCCAATAGAGACAGCATCCTCACCTCCTGGCCTGTTTGTCAAACAGGTGCTACTTCACTGAGCAAGTCTGAGCCATTGTTGCTGAGTCCCTGCATTTCAGCCCTCTCTCTTTTCTTCTGCTACAAGGGCTGAGGATGAGGAGCTGGCAGCTGAGTCTGGGGCGCATTCAGGAACGAGTCTGCTGTATAGCTGGGTCCAGGAGATAGGCAGGAGGACCACTCCACGTGCCTTCCAGGTTAGATGTTTGCCACCAAGGCCTCTACAGGGGCAGGTGTGTAAATCCCAGGAGCCTGGGATTCAGCTCCCTTCCATCATCATTCCTACCCCTTTCTTTGGCTGCCTTCCCTGTGTGGAGCTCCCCAGGCCTACCACGCAAAGAGGGAGGAATTCCTACAGAAGCTGCCTTCCCACATTCTCTCCCTTCAAAGCTGCCCAGCTTCCTGCATAGAGCGTGTCCCCTCCCCCCCACTCTTTACATTTTGCCTACATATTTTCCCAGCCAAACTACTTTCAAAAGCCTCCTTTTTCATCTCCTAATTAATTTTTATCTTCTAAGACTGAGGGAGGACAACACAGGAGACACTGTTTGTGATGTCTGCTGCTCCCTGACAACTCTCCAAGGCAAAGCTCCTGGAGAGGGACGGGTCTGCCTCTAGCAACATCCCTGGCAGGCTGCTGGCTGGAGGCTGGAGCAGAGGGGACTTGGACTCCCAGAGAGCCTGATGGCTTGCTTCCTGATGTCAGCATCTTTGGACAGAAAGGGGTTGCTCCCTGATGATCCACTCTCAGCTGAGGGATGGGAAGAAAGGGGGCCATGACTGTTTACAATCTAGCCAGGAATATGCTAATCAAAGAAAGGAACCCCATTTTCCTGGTACTTTGGGACATTCATGGAATGGGCCGTGTGGGGGTTCGGAACCTCAGCGTTACCTTCTGCATTGCCTCCTGCCATCCTTTAATTTAACAACAGTATTCAGCTGGCATCTAATGAGTGGGCAAATCTAAGGTGCCAAGACTGTGTTGCACTATGAATAGGGTACGCCTAACTGTGGCTTCATTCTTCACTAAGTGAGACTTGCCATGAGGGCTATGGTAGGGTCTTTAGGGAGGCAATATGGACCTAAGTGACAAAGAGCATGGGCTTTGCAGCTGGATTACTTGGGTTCAAATCACAGCTTTGAATTTCACATGCTGGGAATGATTAGGCAAGTCAGTTAGCCTCTCTGAACCTTGTTTTCATCTTGCCTGCTAGGGTTGTTCTGAGGATGGTGTGAGTGAATAGAAGTCAAATGATTGCAAAATGTCTGGCACACAATAGGTGCTCAATAAGTGTTACTGTGATTGTTGACTGTGACAATGACCTCTAGACCTTTGGGCTATTCTTAGAACTGACGTCTGTCTAACCCTAGTGACAACTTCATTGTACATACTCTTGTGCAGGGGAGAGGACAGCCCTCCAGGAGAGGACCCCAGAGTGGGCAAAGGAGAGGACACTGTGTGTGCAGACAGACCTCCTGACCTTGTGCCTGGCTCCACGCATTGATCTGCTGGGGAATCCAGCTCCTGAGGGTCCTGCCTCTGGTCAGAGTGGAGTCTCCTTCCAGCCCTAACCTGCAGATATTCTGTGATAACAAGGAGATGTGGACCAGGCTCAGGAGGTCCAGGGCAGAGGCTGGGAAAGATGGAGGTTTGTCCAGATACCCAGTGGGCGGGGTGCTTCCAGCTCACCCTCTGAGCTGGCATTATTGTATCTGATCAGGCTCCTCCCCTCACATGACAGTCCCATCCATGCTGCTGTCAGGAGAGAAAGCCAGGAAGAGGAGCTTCATGTAGGTTCAGGCAGGGGACAATATGGCTGGACATACAGGGATTAACTGGCCATTGGGACACAGTGATAGTGGATATGGTAGTGCAGCAGGATGGGCAGTGACTGTCTCTAGTCAACCAGTCCTTGAGCCCCTGAGTCCCCTGTGGGTGGTGGCATCCATGTTCCTCTCCTTGCTGTGCTACTTACAGGGAAGGTAGGTGAGGATGGAGTGGGTTGCAGGGGAGATGGTTGCTGCTTGATGCTGAGGACAGAGGCTCAGTGGGGAGCTGGGCCTCGGCTCTGGGAAGCCAATCTGAGCATCTTAGCATGGAGGGAGGGTGAGGGCATCCAATCAGCCGCAATGAGCCTGTATCGGGCTTATTTATGCCGTTTCCCTTTGATCGGGAGCCCTGCTTAGAGATGGGCTCATGTGTAATGCATGAGAGCAGCTCTGGCATAGTCAAAGGGCTGGACTGCAGCCCAGGGATAGGCAGGGAGCAGACGTGCACACACACACACACACACACACACACACACTCAGACACACATGCATATGTGAACCATCTCTCTCATACAGACTCTTACATGCAGACATGCACATATGCATAGGCCATCACACACACACACACACACACACACACACACACACACACACACACACATATACACAGGCCATTAAACACACATTCCTCTTTACTCTTATCTTGGCATACCTCATGGGGACAGTCAAGCAGATAGATAGATAAACATACACTCTGTGCACATATACACATGGATATTCTGGAACTTACTTGTGTAACTCATAGGCACATACCCATGTGCCCATATCACAGGGATGCAGCACACAGAGAGATTACATATATCAGTGGTGCATACACACATGGATGCAAACACTCGTGTCCAGATGGATATCAGCACACCCACACAGGGAGACTACTACAGTCTCATCTGCGCACACGTGTATACAAATGTACCTTTACATGTTATCTACATATAGGCACAAAGTCATGCTAGTATGTACACATACTATCATACTTGCTTATGCTTCAGAACAGAGTTGCTGGGAACTTTTGATATAGATAGGCCTATAATCCTAGCTACTCGGGAGGCTTGAGATTTGAGGATCAAAGTTTGAAGCCAATCCAGGCAGGAAAGTCCATAAAACTCATCCCCAATGAACCAGCAAAAAGCTGAAAGTGGAGCTGTGGCTCAAATGGGAGGGTGCTGAGTGAAAAAAGCTCAGGGACAGTGCTCAGGCCCTGAGCTGAAGCCCCAGGACTGGCACAAAAAAGGGGGGAAACATAGAGTCCCAAAGAGCTTCTGGCACAGCTTTGACAAAGTTTTACTCTCCCCTGGCTCTAAACGTGACCTGTTAGGCACACAATGCTCATGGTGTCTGGGTGGCACATCCAGAGGGGAGGTCCACTCTCCTCTCTCTCCACTAATCGGCTTCAAACCCCAAGCGCGCACACGGGGCTGGGTGGGGAGTGCTAGGAGCTCTGGTGCCTGTCCAGTTTTCTGGTAGAAGAATTTCCCATTCAGAGTAAAGGCAAATCCTCCAGCTTCCAGTGACTGAGAGCAGTTGATTAATAAATGAACAGATGAGCTACAGCCACAGAGTTCCCAAGTCCTGATCACTCCTGAGGGGTAATTAGAGCCTCGGATCTCAACGTGTGGTCCCTCCCCGGATCAGCAGTACCGGCCTCACCTGAGAACTTGTCAGAAATGCTTGTTCTTGACCCCATCCCAGGCCTTCTGGGGGTGGGGCCAGCACTCTGATCTAATACTGTTGGCTTAGAACACAGGCTTTGGGGAAAGCCGACCTGAGGGGTCTGGCTCCTTCAGCTGTGAGTCCTTGGGTTCATGTAAAATAGGAATCATTACCGGGCTACCCTCATAGGACTCACCACAAAGGTTAAATTAGCCCCAGCACTGAGCACAGGACCTGGCCCACTGTGAATGCTCAGTGTTGGCAACTACTGCTAAGTGTTACTCTAATTCAGTTGTGCTGGAACCCCATTGAAGCAGTCACCCGGCACGGGACAGCGATTTTATCAAAATGCATCAGCAAGCCGGGGTGTAACACCCTGAGCAAGGCTCCTCTCCAACTTCAAGAGGCATCCCATGCTCACTGGGGACAACACCCAGACCCCAAGCTAAGGGCAGATGGACCCAGGTCTCCCTGTGTTATTATCTTTTCTCCTCCTTTTCCTTCTATTTCCTTTTTCCCTCTGACCTCTGATGATTCACACTCCTTGTCCCACCCACCGAAACTTCTAGAATTTGAGACCAACCTTCATGGTTCACTTCTCCACAGCTGGACCACAACTGGTCCAAACAGAAAGGCCCCAAATCCTGGGGTTTCTGGCCTGTAGGCTCTTGAGTAGTGAGAGGAGGGCAGAGTCTTCCTTTCTCACTTTCCTCTTCTTCTCAGTAAAAGGTCAGATCAGGATATGCCATGAGGAGGAGAGAGCCTCACCTTGAAGAAGGTCATCGTGGCTCCATCCTTGACAGCCCCATACTCGATTTTGGTTTGCTTGGCTAGGTCGTCGGCAGAGTCGATGGGCGATTCCATGCGCTCCACGGTTAGGAAGGCAGCCAGGTTGGCCGTGTAGGAGGAGATGATGATGAGTGTGAAGAACCACCAGATGCCACCAATGATGCGTGTAGACAGAGCTTTGGGCATCAATTCAGACCCTGAGGGAGGGGAGGAGACAGGAAGTGCCTTACAATGTGCATGGAGATCAGGGCTGTGTGGTTTCTGTGAGCCATGACTATCACTGCTTCTGATAGAAAAGCTGACCAGGGTCCCTCAGCACTACCTGGAAGCTTGTTGGAAATGCAAGTTCCCAGACAGCACCCCAGGACCTAATAAATAGGTAACTTCCAGTTGGGGCTGGGTGGGGAAGGCAGGACCACCCATCTGTCCAATCAGCTTCCAGGTGGTTCTGACCCAGGCTGAAATTTAAGAATCATAGCTCCCAAACAACACAAGCTTTCACAGGCTGGTCAGCCCCTTGGATACCTATCCATAGACTAGGGTTGTGGGAGTTGGACCCCTGGGTTCTTCCGTGGATCCTACTTTTACTCTCTGTATGATCTTATGCCCAACACTTGCCCTGTCTGGGACGTCTGCAGAATTGTCCTTCCTCTGTCCCAGCCTTACAGAAATACTGTGAGGCTGCAATGGTATAATTTGAGGAGAGATTGGTCGGAAATACAAGTGATGTACAAATAGAAGATTGCTATGCGGCACTTGGCAGGAGGAGTAAAATCAACATTTTAGGAAGCTCTAAGTTGAAATATATCACTCTTCCTCCCTGACCTTGGGTGTGGAATACAATTCAGATGAAACCTTCTAACTGAAGTAATTAACTAGGAAGCTTTCAAGAGATTTAAATAGCAAGTGACTCCTGAACTTTCCAGAATATTTGGACCTGCAATCTGAAAAGCGTCTGCTTTGATATGGATGATTTTTTTTTCCTCTCAAAGAAATGACTCAAGGGAGAGTTTTTCAAATACATAACTATTTTTTCCCCTCCTAATCAAAACCATGCAGGGAAGGCATTGGGGGCTTGGGCTTTGAATAGCAGCAGGAAGCAGATGAGGGGAAGTTATTACTGCAATAAGGGCCATCTAAGTCTTTCTTGACTGTCACTGAACAAAGATGATGGGCAAAGAAGCAAGGTGAGGCTTTGGGACATTTGTTAATAGTTGGGACAGATGGAGGCACTCCTCTTGAAGGTTGCCCTTCTACTTGTGACTTCCCAGCTACAGGAGCCTAGGAAGCTCCTCAGCAACCCCTCTCCAGCTGACCACTCTGCACTTTCCCAAGTGGCTGCACTTAAGGCTCCAGCTGCCCCCTGCCTCACACCCCCTGCAAAGGGAGAATGGCTTTTTGTTGTTTGCTTGGGACTTCTGCCCAGTGTCAAGCCACTGCTCTGCCTCTGTGTGTCTGAGAAGCCTCTTGGACACAGGACAGATCTACTTCTTTCTCTTCTGTTGAATTCTTGTGCCCAGCACTGAGCACGATGTGGTAGGCACTCAGAAAATATCATTCAGTAAGCCAAGTTCAGAGATATAAATGGTGCATGTTTTCTCTCATATGCAGAAGCTAGACGTAAAATTCTGGGACTTAATGAATTATACAGGTCTCTAGGCATTCACACACAGCGAGTCCAGAGGAGGATACTCTTAGGAGAGGAACTGAAAGGCACAATGCCTATGTTCAATTGATCATACAAAAGAATATTTATCGAAATGAACTCCAGGAAATGGAAACAAAAGTTTTTTGTTTGTTGCTGTTTTCGTTTTCTTTTTGTCTTGTTTGTTCGTTCGTTTATATGTCTTTGGGAGTGTAAGGGGAGGCACAGAAATAGAGGGACAAAGAGCAAACAAATACAGAAGTGGTACTCACTAGACACTATGTTGAAGATGAGCTATGCAACTTGTGAGTGGGATGGGGAGGAAAAACTGGGAGAGAGAGGGGGAAGGGGTGACATTGTCCAAAAAGAAATGAACTCTTTACTTGACTTATATAACTGTAACCCCTCTGTACATCACTTTTATAATAACAATAAAAATGTTTAAAAAAAGAAAATATCATTTGTTCGTTCATATGGAATTTGCTGATAGATGTCTCTTGGGGACAGGAGTTGGTGCTGGGTCTTGAGGATACTGAGAAGAGTGAAGGACAAGGATATTTCCCTTGTCCTTTGAAGCTGCTCCCCCCCCCCCCATGCTTCCTAGTTAGGTCCCTCTTTGGCATGCTGGCACAGGTAAATCTTGGCTGCCTCGCCTGCCCCTCCTTCCCCCGCATTCCTTGGGTAAAGAGGCTCTGGCCTTCGGACCCCACAGGTAGAGATCGTGGGTCAAGGGCTCCTGGCCAGGAGTGGGACTGAGGCTGTTCTCCCTAGGGGTCCTGCCCAGCTGGCCCTCTAGCTGTGACTGCTGTCTAACCCCTTGGCATCTCTGCATCCCAGACCTTGAAGTTAGAGCAAGTGCTCTGCTTCTTAGATATTTAAGTAGCTGAGAAATGCCTAAGGGGCTGGCCATGTGTGCAGGATCAGGAGCTGACCTCCTTCAAGGGTGTAAGAGAACTTGGTCCTCTATGAATCCTATTTCTATGTTCCAGCCTCTCCTATGACCAGGAAGTCACAGAATCCAGACCATGATGCCTCCCAGAGTCTTCTTAGTCCCTCTCTGCTTAATAGCTAGTAAAGCTAGTCCAAGTTCAAGTACATCAGTTCCTTCCTGAGGAGGCTCCAACCCAGCTCCCAGCCTCTACTTCCTCCTACCCACAGTTCAGCTTTGCTCAGATCCACTTAACAGTAGAGAGGCCATCAGGATACATTCTACATGTCATAGGTTAGGGTGGCTATGTACTTCAGATCTTGAGCTGGCTCCAGCCAGAGCAGTGTTATGAGGTGAAGATCTGGGTTGAGGGCACCCTGAAGTGTCCTGATGGCACAGTAAGATCTGAGGCTATCCCCAGAGGGTGAGTAGACTGGCTTTCCTGATTCTAGAGAGGTAGATCCATGGGAGAGAGAAGATGCTCCCTCCAGGAAAGGAGGCCGGGGGGGCAGGAGGCTCATACCTTGCTGCATCAGAGACCCCATTCCAAACCAGAAGCTGTTGAGTAGAGTGAAGTTGTTCTCTACCACCTCAGAGCCAGGATTGCAGGGATGAGCATCGTACCATTCATAAGGGCTAAACCTGTGGGGCAGAGAGAGGCGGTGAGGGGGTGCTGTAAGGTGACAGCAGCCACATGTGACTCTAGATTACCCTTCCTTGTTGTTCTGCTTGTTCTGCACTGTTGGTGTCCTTTTCTGGTTATAAAAAGAATCCAGGAGCCAGGGGCCAGTGGCTTATCTTGGATCAGGAGGATCTAGGCCAGCCTTGGCAGAAGTCAGCAAGGCTCAGTCTCAACTGAAGATGCTGGATATGGTGGCACATGCCTGTTATTCCAACTAGGATGAGATGATTGTGGTTCAAGTGTATACCCAGGCAAAAAACAAGACCTTATCTCAAAAATAACCAGTGGGAAAAAAGGACCGGTGATATATACCTGCTTAACAAGTGCCAGGCCATGAGTTCAAACCTCAGTATCACAGAAATAAAAGCACTTTAGAAGCTCCTCTTAAAAAGTATGCGAGCCCTTCAACCTAGCAATTCTGCAACTCCTTCTCCATCCCAGAGGACCCCACTCGTACACCAGCATAAAGTGAAACACACAAGGGTGTTTATCAAATTGTTGTTTGTCATAGAAACAAGACTGGAAAACAACCTAAATGTCCTTCAGTAGAGGAACGATTAAATAAACCAAGCCGTAGCTGTGCTTTGAAATATCACAAGGCTGTTGAAAGAGTCTGGGATACTTCTAGATGTTTCCGGCAGGGAAAGATCTTTAACACATAATATCTGGTTTAAGGAAAGTGATAAAAATAAGAGCAACATGATCACATTTATATAAATAGATTCCCAAAGGCATACCTATACAGATGTGTACATATATATGGAGGTGAATGCATGCTGCAAGTTCTAGTTTCCATACATAAGGAATATCAGTGTTTATCTTTGGACTGGGATATGGAGTAGAATGACAGACAGAACTTTAGGGAGTCCTACTGCCTTATTTGTATTACATGCATTTTTTTAAATAGAGAACATACTTTTGAGCTTTTGGTATAATTAAAAAAGCAAAATAAAAAAGGATGCTCTCTGAAGTATTCAGCCAGTATAGAAAAACAATGAAAGAAAGAAAGAAAAAAAAAACCCAACAAGTGCCTAGGCATCTTACTCCCTGGAAAGAACAATGCAGCATATATTTTTTTTCAGATTTTTCTCTTTGAATATACAAACACATAGACAACAGGGAAATGTTGTTAAGGCTTCCCCACTGTTTTCTAAGAAAGAACTCCTGACTGCTGGAAGGAATCTTGGTTTCTGGTGTGAGTTACAGTTGAAGATGCTGGCTAGAGAGATTGAGAAATGGTGGAGAAAACTCTGGCTAGGGGTAGAGGTTAGGGAGAGACAAGTCCAGCGAATTTTGTTTTTTGTAGTGGTGTGGTGCTCTGTGAGTGTGATGTTGTGATGTCTCCTTTACATTTCTCCTCTGGAGCGGCCAGTGCATTCATTACACATTGACCATCGATGCTCCTGGGAGAAGCAGGAAGTTCCCCCAGCAGGAAATTCTAAAGTGAGGCTTCAAGCCAAGTTGAGCATTTTCAAAGGAAATGGTCACGAATTGCTTAGAGCCTCTAAAATCCACAAGAAAGAGATCAAGGATCAGGAGCACCAGGTGGAGAGGCAGTTGTGAGAGGGGATTTTGGAGAAAGCCCTTGGAGAGCCCGGCGCCTGATGCTGAGGGCCAGTGTGGAGCACCTGGGAAGTCTTCAGGGTAGGGGCTGGTTGTGTGTGTGCTTTCTGGGTGAGGAGAGGGCCACAACCATGATCAGAGTCCTGTCTCTACCTTAGTGACTGGGGTCAGGTTGTAGCTCTCCCTTGAATGGAGTCAGAATACTTTCAGGTCAAAGGCTTCTAGCTTTCACTTGCTCATAAGGCTGGAGGACCCCAGGTAGCCAAGCTATAAATCCAATTGTGACCATTAACAGATACCTTCCTCCCTTGTCCAGCCATCATCCATTCTCTCCTCTTCTTTCCTGTCGGGCCTATCAGACCCCTCAACTGCAGAAGTAAAGTCCCCCTCCTGCTACAAATGAGCACTTAGTGTTGTTAAATTTTCAGGGTGGCGTGGACCTCAGTCTATGACAGCTGCAGGGTAACACAGAAGTCTCTTCTAGTTCTTTTTATTATCATAATTTTTTGAAAATCATGATTAGTAGCTGCATCTGTCAGAGCTCTGAGCTCATCTGTGTGACCTTTGAGCCATACTCTGGAGTCTAGAACACCTCCACAGCCAAGTCCCAAACCAGGCCACCCATTGGTATTGGTGTCTGCAGAAGTGTGCCCAAGGATTCTACAACAGTAGGAACTGGACAGGCTTCAATGCCTACCACAGAGGATAGTTAAAAAAACATATGATGTAGCTGGGCACCAATGGCTCATTTCTATAATCCTAGCTATTCAGGAGACTTAGATCTGATGTCATCCCTGGCACCAAGCAGCAGTGCCCCCTGGGCTCTCCACTACTACTGTTGCTCATCAGTCAGCCTGCCTTTCTTCTTAATGTCACCTATCTGGCCCCGACAGACAGTTGTGTTTGGTTTAAAGTGGGACAGGTCTTATCCAACTCTGCAAAGGACAAGATTTCTGACGGGACAATGGCCTACATTCTCTGAGCCTCAGTTTCTGCCTCTGTGAATGGATAGAATTACACCCACCTCACAGGACTGCTTGTTGTGTGGGTACACCACAACTATATGATGATGCTTTTCTCAGATCTGTGGCCAAGACCTTCAACACTCTCTTCTCTCTGCAGGTATTCCATAACATTCCAGCCACTATAGAAATCCCCTCTTCCCAGACCAGCCTTGGCAAGAGGACACCTACCTTCCTACTCAGGGGAGAGGGGCTGCAATGCAGGCCTGGCTTCCTGCAGCGGATGGAAGGCCATTATATTGGAGGGGGAAGGGATGTGCATCAAACAGACAGAACTAAAGCTGGAAATGCTCAGTCACAGAGGGGTGGGCCTCTAAGAGGTCGGCTGGAGCCACTAAAATTACAGTGAGAGCGCCGGAGAGTGGCTCCTGGCTTTCAAAGGCTTGTTAGACCATTAGAGACAAGAGGTGTAATGAAGGCCTCTCTGTGGCAGGCTAGGCTGCTGGCTGGGCTGGCTGGGCAGGGCAGCCGTGGCCTCCACAGCACTGGGCCTCAGCAACAAAGGATAGGGAGGTAAGGGCAATTTTGTTTCTCATATCTTTCCCTTTGGTCCCTCTCTCTGTGTGGGAGGAGGGAGTGAATGGAGCAGAGGATGGGGGGTGGGCTTTTAAAGAAGGCCCTGGAGGGGTAGGGAAGGCTGAAACACTAAGCCCTTGAATCTCAAATTGCCTCTCTCTGGAGAAGTCTCTCTTTGCACCATGTTATAATTTAGAGGTAGAAAGAAACAGGGCAGGGGCCACACTGGGGCTTGGGGGGGGGGGGAGAGGGTGGGGGGGAGAGGGGAGAGGGCAGAGGGCTTAGCTAGGAGGGATAAGAAATCCGGGTCATATAGCCACCAGCTTGGGGCAAGGGTAGAGCAGTGCTCAGGGAGTAGGGATCATCTAAAACACTAGATGACCCAAGTTCAGTATTACTGCTTGTTTGACCTTTCTGAGCCTCATGAGATGTAAATGAGGTAATGGCTGGAGAGGGCAGAGAACAGTGTTTGGCAAACACCAGATGTTCATTAAACATGATCTAAGTCTGTTCCCTCATGACCTCCTCCTGTCACCTACAAGCAAGGTCACACTGTCTATGTTGTGTGAACAGCCACGTATGCAAGTGGCATGGCTAGCACACATCTCAGGCAAACAGTTGTGGACGTGCCAGGTTCCTGCATGTGGCTTGTGTGGCACATTTCCTCCTACTGGTGTGGACTATATAGACACAGCCTGTTTTCAAGGCCATACAATGCCCCTGAGTCTGCTGTGCCAGGTGCCTTGCCCAGCTGCTGCAGCTTTGGGCAATGCTGATCTCTTCCAGTCTAGGACATATGTCTGCCACATGTCAAGAAGCATCAGCACAGACCAGAGGAAGAGGAGGCGATTCCTGAGGGTATGAAGGGATCTGAGCCTCCTTCTGAACACCAGGGAGGGAGAGAGCAGCAGGAGCAGAAGCAGGAGCAGGTAAGTCTGCACCTAGGGCTGAGGGTGTGGGACTTGGCTGGCTCCCTAAACCTTTCAACTCAGGCCCAAGTTCTGGCCTGGGCATTGCCTTACCTGGCAATGACGAAGAGGACACAGCTGACACCCAGGTAGGCGAGGAGCACATACATCCAGATATCTGGGGACAGAGGGTTGAGGAAGGAGAAGACGCTGGGGTTGGTGCCATTGGGCTTTCGGTACAGGATGCTCACACCGAGTGTCATGAAGGGCTTAGAGAAGTCGATGGCCTTCTCTCGGACATGGGTGATGGTCAGGGGAGCCACGGCCAGATCTGCCTTCTGAAATAGAAAGATGGACAGGCAATGAGCAAAAGCCTCAGACTATAGGCACCAGAGCAACTGGTCTTGTAGGAAGGCCAAAGAGGGAGTAAAGTGGCATCAGAGTCCAAGGCCACTTAGTTACTCTTCGCTTGCAACATTTACTGGTGGCTGTGCCACACCCAGGGTGCAGAGAGACAGGCGTGAATTCCATTTGACCTTTGTTCTCTAAGAGCTCATGGCCTTGAGGAGGAGGACAGTGACATAACCATGCAGAGAATGGGACCCTATTAAGGCTGTCACCCAAGTGATCTCTTCTCAAGATGGTGACATATCAAAATGAAGACAGTTCAGCAACCTATGAACATTTAAAAATAGCTCATGTTCTTTACTTGTGTCTTTCAAACGTCGTGAGGAGAAGCAGAATCTACAACAACCTGCATTTAAATCTGCTTTTCTCTTATCTGCTTTTCAAGTGCTTCACCCTGTCTGGTTAGAGTATGTATCCTCCCATCCACCTATAAGCTGCTTGGACAAAGATAATCACCTCCTTGGAGAGTATGGAACTGAACAGGCAAGTCCTGGGCCTCATTAGCAGGAGGCAGCACAGAGGAGAAAGGCATATAGGGATGCTCAAATGTTAATAAGGTTTATTCTAACATTTTTGTTGTTGTTGCTTTTGTCATTGTTGTTGTTCTGGTAGCACTGGGAGGTTTGAACTCAGTGCCAGGACTCTACCACTTGAGCCATACCACAAATCCTTTTTTACTTTAGTTATTTTTAGATAAGGCCTTGTGTTTTTGCACAAGTCAGGCTTCAGATCTAGATCCTCCTATTTATTCGTTCCATGTAGCTGGGATTACAGGTATGTTCCACCATACTCAGCTTGTTTTTTTTTTCTTTTTTTTTAAAAATTATTTTCTTTTTGTGTGTACCAGTATCAATATCAGAACTCAAAGCCTCATGTTCTTTGTTTGGCTTGTTTGCTCATAGCTGGCACTCTACCGCTTGCGACATGCTTCCAACCTGGTGTTTGCTGCTTAATTGGAAATGAAGTCTCAAAGATTTTTCTACTGGGGCTAGCATTGAACCAAACACTCCAGATCTCAGCCTCCAGAGTAGCTAGTGTTATAAGCATGAGATAATAGCACCTAGTTCCTTTAATAAGAAGAATAAAGTTCTTTCTTTGGCCTGAGTATTTTCTGATTAAAAATTTAAATCACTCCTTACAATATTTCCTTTCCAGCCTACTCCAGTGCTCTTCTACATGAGGCCCTCATTAAACCGCTTCCTATTTCCCATATCCCTTTCTTTACCTCCACACTTGGCTACCCCATGCTCTATTTAGAACACCCTCTTACTATTGTCTAATGCTTGCCACCATCCACATTCCTTTGCACAACAGCCTCCTGTACTAAATGCCCACAAAGCTCACTGTGTGCATTAAGACCTGCACTTGCTGTCTATGTGCAGTCCTTTCTGCTCCCATGAGTCCCATGGCTCATCTGCTTATTTGCTCTTGGGTTCCTTGGCATGGCTGGAGCTGAGGCCAGTCTACTGCTCTCTTCTAACCCCCAAGATTCCCCTAGTATCTGGAATATTTGCTAATCACATTCCCTTGTGAGGGGCTACTCCTTGGGCTCCAGTGGGAAATTATACCTCAAACATGAACATATTTATATCTTTATTTAATTCCTCCAGTGACTGATAGTCACTTCAGCTCACTGTTTTGTAGGGTAAGACTATCATTACTACCTTACTGGGTCTTGTTTCATTTTAAAACAAAAGTCACTATGTATCCCAGGCTGACCTTGAATTCATGATCCTCCTGTCAGCCTCTACTATGCCCAGCTTTACATAAGCTTTCCTTCCTTCCTTCCTCCCATCACTACTTTATGAGAGCCCCCAGGCACTAGGGATACAGAGCTGGCCCTAAGTGAGCTGGCTTCTATACTCGTGGCACTGATGGTACAGTAGGGGCAATGGACCTTAGTTGAAATATTTAGCAAATGACAGCTGTGTACAGAAGTGCTGATTGCACTTAGAGTAGGCACTAGCACTCTAGTCAAAATCAGACAGGGAGGTAAGGGTTTGTATGGGTAGAACCCCAGTCTCTAGACTGCTCAGTGGGTACCCTATGCAGGGGAAACTGGGAACTCTGATGTTGCTCACCCCAGTGTTTCTCAGTCACAGCCCCCACATCCTTCACAGAGCCCAGAGATTTGGTGAGCTTCAGAACCCTGGAAAGACAGGAGGAGGAGCCTATCACAAAGGATCTTCAGATGAGGCCTTCCTTTTGCAAATTTCCAAATGTATGAGTTGGCATTTGCCTGACTTTGAAGACAGAGGAGGAAGGAACAGGGCAGCAGCTGTCACCCAGCTCTCTCAATTCAGACTGTGGGGAAGGAAAGCCACGGAAGGGGAGAGAGCTCTCAGGCAAGGTGCAGAGTGGCTATTATGCATTTGCTCAAGGACTGCTGAGCCCAGACCCTGGCCCTGCCTTAGTTACAGCAATGAGGAAGAGAGCCAGTCCATGTCCTCTTGGGGTGTCAGTTCACATGGTCCTCTGTTGGGAGTGCAGTAGACACGATTCCTGGGGACTGGTGGTACTGAGGGCAGCACCCTGGAAGGTCTTTCTAAGTCTCCTTAAGTTCTGAGACCTTCTATAATATTTGGCATGACAAGGATAAAGTGAGCCTTTGGTTCTAGAACTTGGACTCTCAGAGCCCTGTCTCTTCGAAGTACATTGTGTCAGGAGGCTCTCTCTGTTCTGACCCCAAAGTTATTATCATCTGTAGGAATGTACTTGAACTGTTCTCTGGACAAAAGCTCCAAGGCAATGCTCAAGAAAGGCAATGCTCAAGAATCTTCCTTAAACTTTTAATTACAAGTTGGATGATATCATAGTGTTTGTAGGCAATACTTATTTTACCAGATGTTCCAGACACTGGTGAGGAAGCCAGGTACAGGGCCCCAGGCCCCCCTTGTTCCCCAGACGCTCTGAGGGTCTGTGGAATCTCCCTGCCATTCTTTCTAACAGGGTTAAGAGGCAGAGGCATCCATGATGTTCTGTGCCTGCGGCAGCAAGATAATTGGCCGATGCGACCTTCACTGGGAGTTTGGATGTGTGTCCTCCCTTGGGGTTCAGAAAGGCTGGTATTCTCCACTTCATTTTTTGGTTTAGGCAGAAAATACTACATTTCAACTGTTGGTAACGATTTCCCCTGAAAAAGGCATTATTTTGTCCAACTTCCCTTGAAAGATCGGAACAGATGTCAAGTCTTTGCTGTTTCAGTTCATTACTCAGAATGAAAGGCCTAGTCTTGGCGGCCCTTCCCACTCATGCAAGTTTCTTCCAGGGTGATTCATGAAATCACAGGCTGTCAGAGCTGGACGAGACACCTTTGGGAACATCTATTCCAAGCCCATATTTTTTTTTTTCTGTAGAAGGAAACTGAGGCTTGGAGAAGCTCCTTGGTCTTCACTTTCAAATGACAGAAATCATTTCTTTGAACAAAACCAACACTATGGTCTGTCCTGTACTTTCATTGGTCTCTGGAGGGATTTATTGGCCTCTCCTGCCTTGCTAAAGACCATTCCGTACATTTTTTTTAACCTGTGGACCAGACAGGAAACTTTCCTAGAACAGCATTTCATTCCCATAAACAGCTTGCCACTTACCAAGAATCTCCTAAGATGCATCTGGCACCTTCCACTCTCACATGAAGCCATTTGGCCTCATCTGCATTGTCAGAACCCAGTTCTCAGCAGAAGTAATAGCAAGGAGTATTTACTGAGGGCCTGGAGGTATGGCTCAGTGGTAGAGCACTGGCTTAGTATACACAAGGCTCTAGGTTCAATCCCCAGTACTGCCAAAAAAATCAACAAACAAAAAAACCCCAACAGAGGAAAAACATACTCAGATTTAGCTTTGTATTTTAGCACTCAGTATCCAGCTATCCTGGTTTCAGTCTGGATCCTGACCTATACCCCAGCATAAATCCAGGGCTACCTCCTACCAGGTTCTAAGAATGGAGTTGGGACCATGATCATTCTGGCAACTTATCATTGATTAGCCTTCTCTTGGGACAAGTGGTCCTGGTCAGAGACTAAGATCTATCTCCTGAGCCCTAGCTTGCTCCTTGAGTCTGGTGTCCCATTGGCATCTTGGAGGCACAATGCTTCTTGAGTGATCAAACATGGTCTTCATGAAATGCCTTATTTCTATGGTCTTCCCCTTGGTTAGGAATCCCAAGGGTGCCTTCCTGTCCTGCTCAAATGGTAAAATCTGTGATCACTACTGGATGCTCCTACATGTCAAGAAACATGAGATGTGTTTCGTGTATTGCCTCATGCCAATCTCCCAGAGTCCTAAGGGGTGGTAAACATCAGTACAGAGGCTTCATACAGAGGCTTCATCAGTCTAAAAGGATAAAGGCAAAGGGTCAAAACAATATTTGGACTCCATTAGAATCAGTATATGGACTCAATTCACAGTGACCTCAAAATCCAACATGTTACCACTCAATCATATGCACTATGTATAGTTGGTTAAATTGGGTACTTGGTCCTAATTACATTCAAATCTGAACTATTAGTACCTGTGGGTGTGACTTAATTTGGAGTAAGGTTTTTGAAGATGTCATTAGTTAAAATGCATTGTACTTATAAGAAGAGAGGGGCAAAGATATACACAGAGAAAGCCATGTGATGATGGAGGCAAAGATTGATATAATGCAGATGAAGGCTAAAGACTATGAAGGACTGTTGTTCATACTAAAAACTGGGAAAGGCAGGGAACAGTCCTCCTTCTGAGCTACCACAAGGAACTGACCCCATTGACATCTTTGGTTCTGGCCTCCAGAGCCAGGAAGAGTAAACACTGCTGCACCTTATTTTATTTTATTTTTTTGCTGGTCCTAGACCTTGAACTCAGCCTGAGAGCTATCCCTAAGTTCCTTTTCCTCAAGACGAGCATTCTTCCACATGGCCTACAGCACCACTTTCAGCTTTTTCTGTGA